TTTTTATCATTTATTCCTGTTATAGTAATATATCTTAGGAATAAATGATAATATTTTAAAGATATATGGGATGAATGTTAGTATCTTAGTTACAATATCTTTACTGTAAAGCCAATATTTCTGATAGAAATAGATCTGTTAAATTGTAATAGTTTCTTTCTTGTTATTTTATTATTATTATAGCTTTATTGCTATCATACTTATCTCGTTATGATTTTAAGGCTTTCATATTTTTCCTTCGGAAAATTCCAGTCTAAGAAATATGTCAAATGAGAAAGTAACAATGTCACCGTCATCATCATCATCATTACCATTAACAGTAGAAGCAGCAACAACATTAACCGGTAAAAGGTCCGAATTCCAACGAATAAAATCTACCTCAATGGGATTAGGATCAAAAAAAATTGATCAATCCATCAAAATATCATCAAGCAATCGTGATCACCATGAAAATCATCGGTTCATTTCTTCAACTTCTAGCATGTTCGGAAGTGATTCATCCCATAATTTATTAGCAACAACAAATATATCATCTCAAAATTTTGCTAATTTACAATCAAATCATACTATTTCAACCAATGATTCATGCTTTAATATGCGGAAGAGTGAACAATTAGCTAATTTTGATAGGAACATCCCGATGATTCATAAGGATGATTATTTAGCTAATAATTTTGTACGCTTCTCATTGCATCAACCATTATCCATAATGGATGCAAATATTTTGAATAATGTTCCAATTCATATGTTTCCTTCATCAACTTTATTGCATCATCATTATTTGGGATACCGTAATATTCCATCAACAATAGAGGTAACTACAGCAGCAACAACAACAACAACAACAACAACAATAACAACAACAACAACGGCAACAGCAAGCAATGATATTGTAGTAGAGGAAAAATTATTGAATGAAAGGTCTGTTTATTGATTTTCTCTTTTTGGATTATAATTTTAAATGATTGCAATTTTTTTCAGATATCGTGGTGAGTTATCAGTTTTGGAAAAGTATCGTTATGATCTTAGTCGAGCACAACTTAAAGCAAGTTCACGAACATCAGCTTTATTAGCAGGTTTTGCTATGGTAAGTAAAATATTGAATAAATTTATTGTAGTTTTAAAATAAGAATAATATTTTATTTATTCCCTGATCAAAATATCCCACTATAAGATGATACCTGTAGAATAACTCTGATACAAATTTCTTATTTAGGATTTCTCGTATTACTAGATTTTGTAAGCAATTATTATATCATTTCGTTTTTTTTTCCTCTAAGAAGGAAAAAACATTTCGTTTTTTTCCTCTTTTTTTCTCCGTTTTTTTTTTTCCTCTTTTTTCCTCTTAAATATAGAATAAGATAGAAAATTTGGTAAGAAATGAAGATAAAGGGTTCAGAATATTTGGGTTTTTTTTTTAGCATTTTGAATATTTAAACAATGATTATACACTAAATCCTTTCTAGATATTACCTTGGAATTTTTAATTGATTTTTATCACTGAATAAGTAGTTAATTGATTTAAGAAAACGAAAAAATTTGGACAAAATTCTTTATGTTACATTGTTAACATTAATCTTTTAATCTTCTTTTTTAACAATCTCATAATTTAATCATCATTGTTACTTTTTATGCTTTACATCAATGATTTTTAAATGTTTTCAATACAGTGGTTTACTTTTCCAATACGTGATCGATAATTAATCAGCATTAGTTTCTTATTCATCTTTTTGTTTATGATACCTTAATTTAGATCTTTTTGAGAATGTAAACTGGTATTTTTTCCCTTTGTTTGCATTAATATGATTATTATTATTATTATTATTCGTTGATCTGTTTTCTTCAACAACCTACGTTTATTTTTAATAACCTCTTCTGCCATTTCCTAGCGATAAATATAGCTGATTAATGTTATAGCGAGGTCACAGTATATATAATAATAGCTATCTCGAAAAGTATTGCTGTTATTTACAATTTTTCTAATCAGTACCAAATTTTTTAATTAAAGCTTATTTTTTAAATTAATATCAAACATAACGGAAGATTAAATAGCCTAATCAATGATTGAATATACCATAAGCGTTAGTTCGGGTACTTCGGGATTCCTTTTATGGTAGAATTTAGTAATTGATAATATGCTTCTCACGATGGTCATATTGATCAGATAAGTTCTGAAGTTATTGTTTTTGTTATTTCCAGGTCGCCTTGGTGGAATTGCAATATGAGCGAACGACGCCTCCTTTTTTGTTAATAACACTTGGAGTGGTGACAACGCTTCTTGTTTCCGTTCATCTTCTTGCACTAATGATGTCAACATGTATATTACCTTACATTGAAGCAAATGGTTGTACGCAAGATTCACCTCATATCCGATTGAAGTAAGTTCGTTCGTAAATAATTACTCGATTTTGGAATAATCGATGTGAAAAATGTCGTTAGGTTTTAACAAATTAGAAAAACAAGAGATAGTAGTGGAGAGACAAGAAAGAAATTATTAAAAGCATGATAAAAGATAATGAATCATTAGTAAAGAAAGATAAGCCTCTATGATAGCAATATCTTTAGCATATGTTAGCATCTCTGTTACACGGGTGATATTTTCTTTTTTTTGTTTTACGTATTCATAAATCTTTTAAATATTTATTTTTTTAATATTACAAGTGATAAAAAACAATAATCTACATCAGTCACATTTCAAATATTCTGATTATTTCAAATGTTCACAATATTCTTACATATTTGTTGGTGGCTAAATTGAATTCTAATTCCAGTTTTAATCCATTATCTCTGCTTAAACTAAATAAGCTATTTGGATTTAATGAGCTTTGCTGTTCATATTTTTTCCTGTTTATTTTCTTGAAAATCATATTTTATACGTTTGTAGTAAATTTGCTCAGAATATTCGTTTACATATAAGTTTCAATGAGATACTGATGGTTAGCAGTAATATTACAAGTTATCCCAATTTAGAGTAACATGCATTGGTTAAGGATTGATAAGAGGTACCAATTGTTGTTGTTTCATAAGAAGTTTTGTTATACTTATTTAAGTGAAACTTCTACTGCATATATAAGTAATAGTAATGTAATATTTAAACTGTTTAATACATTTATAGTTTTATATTGCTCTACAAATCTTATTTCATACCATTCAATTTCAGATTCTATATTGATCTATCATGGTTATTTAGTACATGTATTGGTTTAGTGTTATTTCTTATCGAAATTGGTATAATATTTTTTGTAAAATTTTACGCAGTCAATTATATTACTGCTGCTTACATTACCACTGCTATGCTCAGTAAGCAAAAGGCTTTTTTTTTTCTTTTAATTTTTAAAAATTTTTTCCATTTTCCAAAATAAAACATTATCAGCGTTATGCTATCACTTAATGTTGCATGATATAATAGTATAAATTGTTTCATTCCTCATTATCATATAGTATATATCGGAATTTTTGTTTTCAAAAAAAAAAAATAGTATATAACGAATTGAGCAAAGTGGCAAGTAAAACATTTAACAAAGAAGTGTACTGTAAACTATAATTCTCCATAAAAATTTACCATAGTTAAATCGGCTTATACTTTCATATTCTGTCGAAATATTTTCTAATTTCTTTAAATTCCATCTTTTTTAACTCACCTTTTTTTTTTTATTTCAGTACCTGTTGTGGTGGTATTTACAATATTCTCATGCCTTATACATAAAAATCGATTTATTCATTCAATAAATCGTGTAGGATCAAAAGCGATTGATTTACAAAAATTTTTAAACGAAAATAATGCAACAACAACAGGTATTCCGAATGTTACTACAGCTACAACCATTGAACGACATTTGGTAGGTGCTGGTTTACAAGGTGTTCGAATTGTTCATCACTGAAGAAATTTTTAAAAATTAGTTTTTTCTTTCCAATTTTCATTAATCTTTTCTTGTGCACTTTAATATATGCTTTAACTTTAATGCTATTTTACATATAAACTACCATATTTGTTATTTTCCATTTAATGGATCAAGATTATCTCCTAAATATTTCTTGGTGTATGTTATTGAATTTGAATTATTTATGGATAAGTAAATTAACGGGAAAAATTTAATGGGAATGAGCTTTTTTATGCTTTCTAATTTTCTGCTTTCAATTTCTAATTTGCTGCTTTCATATTAAAAAATTGATGAATGATTTTGTCATTTCATTTCATTTCATCTCTTCATTTCATTCATATCAATTTCAATTTATCTTTATCAGTTATCAGCAAAAATCAAATTGTATGCTCTGCACGAAAAGCCGTATTTATAGATTGAATATGAAGAACATCTAACTTGTTGCATTTTATTTAGCTTGGATTCGCCATCGAAATTCTTTCTGCTTAATTCACTGTCTTATACGGCATTCACAATATATGTATATAGAAGATTTGGTTTCCAATTACACCGATGCTTGAGACTAGAGACTGTAAACGTTTTGGGACAAAAGGCCTCCGATACTATGACATATAGCTGTAGCTCTGTTGACACTTTAACATCCCCTCTGTATTGTTTTTTTTTTTTTATAGCCCCTTTCTCATCTATAAGGGACCGTAAATAACGCCTTCATTTTTTTTTTATTCACTTTTCTACATTGTCTCCGCATTTTTCTTCACATTATCTTCTGTTGTTTGAGGTGTGCTAACTATTCGATCTTCAGCTAATATAAAATATTTATTAGGTAAAGTTTTCGGTTTATCATTTATATCTCTTATCTTTTCTGGTTCAAAGTTACACGTCACTATTTACTCACCAGAGTAACTCCCCGATGCACCTTGGAATCGAGTGTCCTGTTCGCGTTCGCTCTCTTACGCTGGTCAAGTATTTTTGTTTCAAAAATTATTGAGGATCGTTAATTGTTCTGTTCCAGTATTTGATAGGCATTTCTTATGGATTCAATTTCGCATATGGATAGACGGTAATTAATGATGTATCTCTGGTACCATGAAATCGATTGGACGTATAATTTTATAATTACCAAAATTGACATTTGTTAGTGAGCGTTGTTCGGTATTTCAACAATCATTCTTGTCTCTTTCTCATAGTCATCTTCTTTCAATGCCTTCTCTTTTTATTCGTTTTTTCGTTAATCTAACTAATCGCTTGTAAAATTTTTCCTTTCTAATGCGCTCTTCCTGTTGTACTTTTGCAAATACTGTCTTTTTTTTTTTTTTTTTGCTAGAAATTTTATTAATTCATTGCTTTTAACACTGATTAAAGTTGTCAGGTAATATTTGCTTAAAATAATTTCGCCAATATAAATACTTTTCTTTTTTTAAACACGTCGATTACTACAGATCCTTCATTTCATTGTCAAATATATCACTGAAATAACGTGAACATTTAAACAAGTCTCCAATAAATCTTGACTCTTCCTGCATCGAAGTAATCCATTTTAGCCTGCATAAAGAGCTCTATCCAATTTATTGATGTTTGCGGAAGATTTAATATGATTGATTGGTATTTCAAACAATTCCAATATCCAAACTCTAAATTTCTTAATACCTCATTTTATTTCACTTCATTTTTTCATGTAATGTTTCCCAAAATGAATTATATCTTAATAAATATATTTTGCTTCTTTATTTATCGAATTTCGAATTCTACAGTCAATTTGTTCGATCTTTACAATCCTTATTATCATAGCATCATTTCCATTTTACTTTCCTTGTTGTCAATTCTTAATGCGCTTGCCTTATTAGCACTTGTTCAACTAATTCATAATATTTTTTTTCCCCCTGGCAAAAAGAGCCTTTAATCATTCTTTATTTTGTGTTTAATAAACTTCACTATCCAGGTGGTCATTCTTATCAAGGTTAATTATTTTCTAAAACACTATCATCGATTTAACTAAAAGCGTTTAACCTAAGTTTCATGAATAATCATTCCTGTGATTTGTGATAAGTTGTTCTTCTTCATACTCTTTTATGAAGTCATTCGTTGTCAGATTCCTTTAATCAGTTTGGTTCTTCCTATCATAGTTTCTGCACTTGAGTTCTTCGGGAAAAAATGCCTTGTCGCAATGGGGTGTTGAGCATTCTGCATCCGGGAATTTAACGTAATTAAAATTTCATCCTTCGTATCTCTATCTATCTTTTTCTATGAATTCTGGCGAAACACCTTAATTTTAATCATTATCAAGACTAAGAATCACGTGAAACTATGCTGATAGTCACAGATTAAAGATGCCTCTTTTAACGTATTTCCTTCTATCGTATGATTTCACTTTCATTTCAATGGCTTTAGATGATTCCAAGCAGCATACTTTAATGAACAAAAACATACTTTGTTGAAATCAATTTTGAATTTACAAAAAATATGCTTACAGTTTATTTGTTCGCTTGTTACTCTTTATAGGACTGCTTTTTCAGCAAACTAATCTGCGTATCTTATGTTTTAGGCATGCGCGCGCACATAACAATCAGTAAACTAATCTGCGTATCTTATGTTTTAGGCATGCGCGCGCACATAGCAATCAGCAAACTAATTGCGTATCTCATGTTTTAGGCACGTGCGCGCACATAACAAATGAAAATCATATAATGGTGAAAGTTATTATATATATATATATATAT